GGAGCAGTGAAGATACTGTGTGTGGAAGCAATCTGTTGAAGTAAACCCTAGAGCTGGAGTGGTCCGGATGGGGCCAGTGGATGGGCGTGGGGGTGCAAAAGGAACATTCCAGTCCAGGGGAAGAGCTGGCCAAGACTCGGAGGGAGGCATGAGCAGAGTGTTTGGAGGACGCTGTGGGGTGGGACACTGGCCTGTCTGAGCTGGAGCTATTCAGAACTCTCCTGGAAACAAAGATGGGTCCTTGTCGACCTTCGAGACAAGGGCTCCATATCTCACATGGTGATTTAAGAAGACACATGTGACACAACGTTTGGAAGGGCCGGAAGCAGGAGAGGTGAGGAGGGAGGGGTCGGCTGGGGGTCATGCTGGTGTTGCAGAGGCGGGAAGATGGGACTGGGAGGCTGGGTCCCATCATAACAGTGGGTCCCCATGGGCCCTTTCAAATATTCCAGGGCCCGGTCGGCTGTCCAAAGAGCGAATTGGACACCCGTGCTCTGGATTCTGCCCATGCCAGGAAATGAATACTTGCGATGCCTGAGAGGAGCCTGGAGAAGAGAACAAAACCCCAGGAAAGAGTGCTTCCCATGTGCAGCCCACGTCGCCGGCAGCCCGCACACCAGTCGAGGAAGGAGGGGGAGGTTCGCGAGCGGCAGATTGTCTGAGGCCAGGATGTACATGATTCATTTTTCTTGGGAACGTCTGAGGGCCTGTGCTCCCTGTCTACTCCCACATGCCAGGCTTAGCTTGTATTTTGACAGGCATAGGGCTGGCCGCTTTGGCCAACGTCCACTTGAAGATGGAGGAGGGGCTGCCTTTAGTCCCCGCCGAGGGCCGGTCACCAGTGGCCTGGGCCCCCATTCCAGGTGGCATCCGTTAGCCCCGGAGCCCAGCTCTCTGGCACTAATCACAGTGCAGAAAACCAGAAAATAGCGTATCTTTTTAAAATTTTCTCCCTGTTTTTAAAATTTGAAAGCAACAAGAATTTTTCTCTCATATCAAACTGCATTAAATTTCTGAGTTTACAAAAAAATTACGCAAATTTTTATTTGATCTAGAAGTGCTCTACTCCCAGAGCATCTCAACTCCCCTTCACAGCTGAGGCCCTCTATTTTATTTTCCTGGATGGCCTACGATGGACTCTATTAGCCAACATCGTGTTCCCAGGATCCCCTGCTCTGAACCCAAGGTTGCTTGGTCTTTATATCAAATAACACTCAGAGAGTGAGGATCCCTTTCTACCATTGGAAAGACAAGATTTTTTTTTTTTTGGTTTTGTCATGTCTTTTTTATTGAAAATGTTGAAACATAAACCCAGATTTTTCATATTTGTACCCAGCTGAGGAAAATGTGCTTTCCACAAAATATATGAATCCATGCCCTTCCAAAAGACCTCTAATTAACTCAGTGCCACCCACATCACTCCTGTTCCTGACTGTCCCGTATTGTTTGACACAGTTTGCCACTTCATCCTTATTTTCTAGTCACTAGCAACAGTGGGTGTCATCTCCCAAATGACACATCTTAAGAGTACAGCCCAGCGGGGGCTTAGAAGTGTTCTAAAAGGCTTGTTTAATAATCATCCCTAATGGATGTTTGAAAATAAATCTGTTTTTCCTCAAGGCCAATCTTGCTCTCTCTCACCCCTCCCCTCAACTGAGAAACACTCATTTGGGACACACGCTTGTCTTAGCTGCTGGAGCCTCCAGGCCGACTGGATCACTAGGGCGCCCAGAGCCGGCCTCCGTCCCCCTGATGCACACCCAGGCAGCAGCCCACACACCGCATCCCTCTCTGCCTGCTTCACCGCACCCGCAGGTACCCAGGAGCACCGTCTTCTGGACTTGGATTTATTTCCAGATCTAGGAAGTAAGTTCTAGAGAAAGCATGGTGGATGGTTGTGTTTTTATTGTTGTAGTGGTCTGCTTGGTTGGTTCCTTCCTTTGATTTCCCTTCTTCCTGACTTCCTTTTGGAAAACCATCTTTCTACACATTTCTAGAATTTATGGTGCTGGAGGGATTCGTCCTTATTCCTTATGCTCTAGAGGACAGCACACAGCCCAGGCCTGGCCACTTCTCTTTCTTGGTTTCAGCAACTGATTTAGGAGGTGGGTAGAGGACCCAAGCCAAGCCAAAGGGTTATTCTCAGCGTTTTGGCTAGAACTCTTAGGAAAGAGCTGCTGTCTTTGTGCTGGGTTTGAAAGCTGACAGATTGTAAGTGTGAGGCTTCTCAGAGACATCTTGTCAGCTGGAGTACTGAGCCAAGAGGCAAAGTGGAAATGACAGGCAGAGGGACACAGGTGTCTGATGGCGGATTTGAGCCCCCAGACCTAGCTGTGCCCGAAGCTAACTGTGCCGGAACTTTTCAGCCTCGTAAGCTGCAAGAACGGCCCTCCTCGCTTACGGCAGTTCCAGCAAAGCTACTCTCCTTGGGGAGCCTTCCCTGCCCGAAGCCTTGGGATTTCGAGCAGACTGTTAGTGGAAGGCTTCCTGGTTGCAACGGTGTGCTGAAGTCCAGGGATGGAGGGATTCACCCCTGTTTAGCCTCTGATTGAGACACAAGATAGATATATGTAACTTTCATGAACACTGCAGTCATTTCCAACTCATCTTAATATCTTCTTTCCCAAACATGACAAAGTCATGATTAAGTAGCAGAATTCACAGATGGCTTACCTGCGTAAGGACTGACTAATAATGAAAGGTCTAAATGTGAGGAGCAGCCACATGGGAACCGTCTGATACACAGATCTGGTACCCAGTCACCAGGAGGGTGAACACGGACACATTACCTGCAATCCAAGTGAAGCCCCTCCCCACAATGGGCCACTCATGGCCGGGGAAAAGGACTTCCTGAGGCAGCCTTATTTCTGTTGCACAGACCTAAGGGCTAAGTCCATCAGTTAACAGGACCCAAACAAACATCATGAGCTTTGAGACTGGGCAGACTTGTATTTAACTCTCAAAGTTTGTAACTTGCTGGTTGTGTGAAACCTCAGAGGAGTCTTCTTAGCCTCGGTTTCCTCAGCCAGAAATGGGAACAATACGACCTGTCTCCTAGGTTGCTGAGGATAGTCAACTAAATTATAAATCTAAGTACCTTCTCTAGACACCAGCATGTAGTCAGCAACCAATAATTGGTAGCCATCATTAGCATAATTATTAGTAATCGGAATAATAATATTAAAAGCAGTAGAAGTTTGCTCACTCCTATTTAAATTTCACGTATATAACTGGAATTGTGGGCCTATGAAACAGCATTAAAAATAATTACCATAAATAGGCTTTGGGGTCCTCTTAGCTCAACATGTAAGGATGAGAACAAAGAGGCGGAAGAAGGATGCTATTTCAGTTTTGTTGAGGCTGATACAAAGTACCCGGACGAAGCCAAATTTCTCAAACACTCTTAGAGGATTTTGTACACTAATCTCTGCTTGCTCTTAATTCAGAGAAAATGTCACATTTAAAATAATGTTAGCAGATCTCTTTAACAGTTGCATTGCACACGCTTTATTAAAAGATAAAGGCTAATACATTCCATTCATTTGTTCAGTCTCTACAAATGGCATCTCAAATGACCTGGGAACTTTTTAAAAGAAGAATTTTGAAAATGTGGTTCAGAATACCCCATTTACTAATGTGGCATAAAATGGAAAGAAAAAGAAAGATAAAACTGAAAATAAAAACTGGGGGAAAAAAATACTGCCACAATAACTGAGCAGAAAAATAAAATAATGCCAATGAATGCAAGAATAACATACACATGTTTATGATTATGGTTCATTCGGATCCTGATAACTGGGTTTTAAAATGGTTTTACAGAGTCAGATTGCCTTTAAATCCAAAGTGGATCGTTTGCCGGGAAAGAGAAAAGGGGGTTCCCCACCCAGCTTAGGAGCTGAGGTGGGTAACTCTTCTGTTTTGTTGTATTTAAGGCTCTTTTCATGGCTCCCTGTCCAATGTGCCCTCATCGGGGATGTTCCACACTTATCAGCACAAGCCTAGCCAGAGTGATTGGTTCAGAGGTGGGTATGTGAAAAAAATTTTGGTTAAGGATAGGTTCATAGTTCTAGTGAACATCTTGGGGAGGTAAATTCACTTTTTTCCCCAGGACCGGAAAATCAGAAGACGTACTATACCACTGCTAACTGCTACGACTACTGCGCATGACATGTGAGACGAAAGCCAACAAGAGCAGAAGGCAGAGCCAAGACATGGAGGGAAACTGAGTCCCGCAAATCCCCTGTGAGCCTTGAATCCAGTGGTGCCCACCCTCGCCCCCTGAACTTCCCAGTTTACGTAAGCCAACGAGTTGCCTTTTTGTTTAAGCCAGTTTAGGCTAGGATTTTGCTACGTGCACACTAAAGTAACCCAATGATCTAGAGATCTGGTATCAAAAACAAACAAACAAGATCAAGAAATACCGAAGTTTAAATGAGGCATAAGCAAATCAGAAAAAGTTCCAGGATCTCAGCTGAGGGATTAAGGCGAGGCACCACAGCCTGTTGAACCTAGAAATTTCTACAAGCTGATCTGCAGACTCGATGCATCTTCAGATAAAAATAATTAAACAAACAAATAAAATATCTGACTTACGCTGTGTGGCCTTAGCTATCCAACTGGGGAGTTTTGAGAGAGAAACTCGGAAAGGTATCAGAATCCAAAATGTGGCTGTGGCAGGACAGTGGATCAGGGGTTGAGTGGTGTCTTCGGGAAGTTAGCTGAGGAGGCAGCAGTTGGACAACATCTACCCTGATCAGGGAAAGCAACGGGACAGCTTGCTAAACATTGAACAAGGATGCTTGCAACAACTGCATTGTTTAGGCTTTCTACGACTGCAAAATAAGAGGCTTTCCCAAACTTGGGAAGGTGCCTTTAGGGCTAGAAATAAAGGGGTGTGACTCTGCTAGCACACAAGCAGAAAGAACTCAGACAAATGAGGAATTGTAGTTTTATGAAATGGGGACTGTACAAAGCAGATGCATTAGGAATTTGGAACCAGCTTAAGACAGTACATTGTTTGTTCAATTCCTGGTAGAACTCCTGCCCACCCCCCTACCACCGAAATTATTTTTAATCATATATGGCAACTTCTTTGCCAAAAAAAAGAGCTTGGATGCAATGCTAGCATAGCATAAAAATCACAGCAAACACAGTTCAGAAGAATCTTGGAACTGAGAAGCTTCCCTCCCAAACCACAGTTAGCCCAGTGCCCATTCCTGGCGGGGTGGAGTGCAAGGTGGTGGCAGACTGAGCTCTGAGCAGGCAGCAGGGGCAAAAGCCACACTTTTCCTTTACATTAAGAACTTTGCATTAGGACTCATTCTTCATTCTTCTCATTCATGCATTTTGGTGTATCCGGTGCCATTTAATTCTCCTTCTACTGGGTAAACATCAGAAACTGTTTAAAAAACAAGACAGGGTTAACTCAGCCCAGAAACATGCAAATACCAAATTTAAATTTCTTGGGCAAGGCACTTGCCAACTACATATGGCTAACTTCCTTCTGCTTAGGAAGCCAAAGGAATCGTTCCACACCTTAGTCCCATCCATGCCATTAGATGGGTCATCTGGGTACCATGTGCTAAGCTGTGCTTAGTTTCCAGTACATTCAATCCTCATTTTATATGGCAAACAGGAGAAGGGGTCTGGCTCTGTGATAAAGAAAAAAAGCACAGTATCCAAAATAAAATGGATAGTTTAGTTTGAAAACAGAATCAGCTCGAGAATAGTGCCTAGGATACAGCAGGCACTTATGCAGAGTGAATGAATAAAAGCAGAAGCAAATGAATAAATGAATGAATGATTTGCAAGACTGATCGGTTGGTTGTGCCATTTAAAATGAGACCCGAAAGAGAACCACCTGGAGAGTTTCAAGAGGCGGAGCAGCATCACAGTTGGTCCACAGGACAAATATTTATGGTTCACCCCACCTTGCACAAGATGAAGTGGGAAATGCTGAGGGGGAGGGAGGTAAAAAGATGTATCACCATGGTTTCTGCTCATATTGCTTGCCATCAACTTGAGAAAACAAATACACTAAGGAAACAAGAACCAGCATTGTAAATTATTTCTCTTTCTGAAATTAAAAGCACACAGAAAAAAACCTTACAAGCATTCATACAGGTACTGGGGCTGGAAAGTCAGAGAAGGCTTCACATAGAGATAGTATCGCTGTGGGTAGAACTTGAATCTGTGGACAGAAGGAGCAAGGGGAAAGGCTTACCTGGGAAAGAACGTATTGCGTGAATGCCATCACGTGACATTCAGACCCAGCCTGACAACTACCTCCGTCTGTAACTCTTGTTCTCTCTTCCAGGGTCCTGGTTCCTACAGTCACCTCTTGTCTGGATGGCAGCCTCCAACTGGGCTTCTAGTCTCTTTATCTTGCCCACTTCTAATCCACTGTCCTCAAGGGAACAAGAATAATCTTTTCTTCTGATAATTTTTAAAAAAAATTTTTAAGTGATATTGACAGAGTTTGTTTTAGTAATAGTAAGAAAAAAATTTGATATAAATATAACTTAGCTTATCGGTTTTCTTTTTTTAATTGAAGTATAGTCGATAAGAATAATCTTTTAAAAAGATAAGTCTTATCAGTTTTCTTACCTACTAAAACCCCACAGTGGTTCCTCACTGATCTTAGAACAAAGTCCTAACTCACTAGGCGTTTTTCTGTCCCCAAGCCCCACTTGCCCAGCCCTCCCCCACTCTGCCCTCCAGCTACGTGGAACCTCCTTCCGCCCCCAGGTGTGCTATGGCATGCCACCTCTGGGCTTCAGCCGAGGTGTTTCATTCCCCAAGAGAACTTCTCCCCTGTCGTTCACCTGGCTGGCTGCTATTCACAGGTCAGACTGCAGCCTAGATATCGCTTCCTCGCAGAGCCCCGTGGCCTCCGGGTCTGGGTTCCATGTCCCTCCTCTGTTCTCTCATAGCAGCCTGTGCTTTCTGCTCGTAGACCTTGTCACTCTGCAAGATCATGTTTATTGTCCCATTTTGCCACCAGACTGTAAGGTCCATGAGAAGAGGGACCAGGCCTGCCTGTGTTGTCACTCTGTTAGTAACACACAATACAGTGTTTGACACTTGTTAGGTATTCAATAAAGTCGCTGAATGAATGGATGGATAGATGGATGGAGGGAGGGTGAATTTTATACAAACAAGTTGGGAGGGGATTGAAGACTGTGATGGGCCTTGAATGATAAGCCAAGGCTTCTGAATTTTACCTTGAATTATTAGGCAGTTTTGAGTACAAAGTGTGACAAAAACAAGAGACGATGAAATTGATACTCATGAGAAATAAAAATAGATACACCTGATGCTATAGGAAGGGAAGGTTAGAGAATGAAGGAAAAGTCAAAGATTTCACTTCACAAAAAAGAAAGGGTTTAAAAGGAGGCGCGAAATCAAGTGTGTGGTCTAGAAGTGCTTCTTAGAGGAATTCCTATGTTGGGGGACTTTTAAGGTTGGGTTCAACCCAAAGTTGGTCCTCAGAACCAAACCTAGGCCTTCCCCCCCACACCCAGACGCACTCACGCATAGGAAAAGGGAAATGCAAAGTCCTGGGGACCGTTTGTAAATAACCCTTTCACACGGGGTGAGCTAACTGCTTGGATTGCAGACAGAGAACGATCGAGATTCCCAGTTGAGGAGAGGACACGGGTCCTTCTGAACAAGATTTAAAAAGAGAAGAAAAAAGAAAAAAATTAAAATGTTACCATTGTTCTATTGTTATGTAGGTGGTAAGAGCCACGTAGGCAGAGGGGGACAAAGAGACCAGCCAGTCTGCAAATACTGGAAAGGTCAAAACAGCCCGACCGGCTACCATAAGCTGTCTTAGGACGCACGGCCCGGGTGACTCCTGAGCCTCGCTCTGCGTTCAGAGTCAAACATTTGGATTATAATATTAAACTAGGACTAACGTGACCCACACTGTTAAGGTTAGTAAATGAGTGGAAAATTGCACAACTGGACATCTTTCTTAGTTGTCTAGCCTAAAGGTCATAATTTGTAGGGTCGCTGTGCTGGCTTGGATTCTGATCATTTACCAAGCGTCGGCAGATTCTTCAGTCCTGTACGAGATGGAGAAGTCCCTGTCCCTCCTGGGGGAGAGAGAATATATGTTAGGCAGGCAAAGACTCCAGCATAATGTAGACAAGGTGCGGCTGTACAGTAATGACAGGGATCTTTTAAACGAAAATACCAGAACTTACTGTTCAAGGGAGCTGCTCTGCAAATCCATCCCCCTCGGGCATGTACCATTAGTTTGGAGCTGTGTCTATTGCTCAGACATTTTTGGAAGGCATCTTCAGACGCTGCGAAGCAGTGCGATGCAGTGAAAGAAGGATACACTTTGAATTCTGACCACTACCAGCTGCACGACCACAGTCAAGTTTCCTAACCTATCAACTCCTTAGATTCTTTCTCTTGTAAAATGGACATAGGATACCACACTACAGTTTTATGTGGATCAAGAAATAATGCTAAGAAGGGCCAGTCTTAGAGGGCTGGCCACCAAGGCAGCCACTGCTTGTGGCACTTCAGTTCGGCTTTAGAGCTGTAGGACACAACCAGACTTATTAGGTAACCCTAGACTTCTTTTGACCAGCAGGAGAATTACTCAGCTTGATTACTCCTTCCCACACCGAACCTAGTCCCCAGATTAGTTTCCTGGGGCTGCTGTTACCAAGTACTGCGCACGGGAAGGCCGAAACAGCAGAGATGTATTCTCTCACAGTTCTGGAGGCTTCAAGTCCAAAATCAAGATATCCGCAGGGCCATGCCCTCCCTCTAGATGCTCCAGGGGAGGCGCCCTCCTTGCCCCTTCCCCGGCCTGGTGCTCCCTAACAATCCTTGCTGCGCTTTAGCTTGCAGACGCAGCTCTCCAACCTCTGCCTTCATCATTCCATGGCATCCTCTGTGTCTGTGTCTCGTCTTCTCTCCTTAGAAGGAAACCAGTTAGACAGGATTTAGGGCCCACCCTAGTCCACTATGACCGCATCTTAATTTAACTATAACTGCAAATCCCCTATTTCCACATATGATCACATTCTGAGGTTCCAGGAAGATGTGAATTTGGGGGGTTTACTATTCAACCCAGAATCATCCCCAAAATTAAACTCTGAAAAAAGAAAAATAAATAAACCCAAGGGTTTTACATTCTTGAAGACCTTCAAAATAATCCAGTGCAGGTTTTACAAAAGTTAGCACGAAAGAAGAGTTTCAGAGATGTTTCAGACAGTGAAAGCTGGCAGCTTTATTGGAAAATATGGCTTGGCCACCGTTGTGATGAATTTGAAGCCATCCTATCTGCCTCTGTGTGTACATTCTCATGATTTAAACTTTAGTGAGACCACCATTGTGTCCCTCCACAAACGTGGAATGAGAAGTGTCCCCTTGCATGCCTACGCTTACCAACTGACACTCATTTCAAAGGGACTAGAGCTCACAAATAATGATAATAATAATTAAAGGGGTGTCTTCTTCTAAATTTGATCTGGTCAGAGACAGATTCGAGCTGAGTTACCTCTTTTTCACTTTCAGTCTCCAAGCTTTGTGTTACACAGTTTGCATTTGTAGAAGCATCATAAACGTCTATAGATAGGCAGCATTTGTACATCTTCTGGTACAAAGAGAAAGTCAAGGACACTCTCCAGTCTCAGGTGAAACCCCTCCATTAAAGAAGGCAGATCTCAGATGGAGACAGACGCCTAAAGAAGACAGAGATTACTGCAGGGCTTTGATTTTCAAAATGATGCAAAACTTCCTTGTAGCCAACATGGCAATATCAGCTGTTAAAAAACAAAAATAACGACCTAGGAACTTAAAGGTAGGCTCCGTGAGGTATGAATACCTGAAGATGGCAGAAGCCTAAGACGCTTCTGAAAGAGGAACCCAGGAGGAAATCAGCACGCGGGGAAATAGGGAGCGGTCCCTTGAGGAAGTGTTAAGGCATTCCCCTGCAGAGAGATGGAGAGCACACCAGGGTTGGAGGGAGTTTCAGTCACTTAGTGTGCTGTCCGCCTGTGGTCTAGACCAAGCTCTGACCTCAAAGGACTGAGCTCTACCTGGCTGAGCAGACACGATATCCCCATTCTAGGGTCTCCAAGTCTGATGAGATAGCTGAGCCAAAACCAGAAGTCATAGAGTGCAAAAACAAGGGGGGGGTGAAGAATTAATTTGGCTCCAAGAGGCTGGAAGGGTTATAATTATCACTCAGATCAGCACAGGAATTCCTGAGCTCCCTGTGCCAACATCAAGGGGGCGCAGGGCAATTTGTCAGAGACCCTAGTGAAGCAAACAGGTGGTCTAGAAGCAGCAGCAGGGGGTATGGTCAGGTCAACTGAGTCCCAGCACGAAGAGACTCTTCACCCAAGGACTGATGGAGTGTCAGGTGGGGTAATGCTCTGCTCAGCTTTTAAGTGCTGGGATTTTAGCTATGGAAGATGATAAAAGTCTCATCAACTCTTCATTTCTTTTAATAAATCATCGCTGGGATTCATACTGACCAGTGTTATTTACCAGTTGAAGAGTCGAAACAGCCACCTGAGCAAGCAAGGGAACAATTGTCTCAGGTTGCAGATGGGAGCCAAGAGAAGTGTTTCAGTCTCATAAAGTTCCCCAATTTCCATCTGTCATAGAGATGTTTGACACCAGGCTTACACTTGAACAACTTATCTAAAGGGAACTTAATCTGGGAAGCAATGAGAGCATTTAAAAGTCCAGATGCCTGCAAGAGGCATGGCAGCCTAGGGATCTAAAGTCAACAGCCTGCAAAGACCAAGCAGGTGACTTCAATGAGTGAGGCAGAACTAGCTTTGTTAACAGTGAACACAAGAGAGACAGCTGGTCGGATGAAAGCAGCGGCTTCCCAGCTCCAACCTGTTGGTGTCATGCAGGAGCACAGGCCCACAGTTGCTTAGTTTGTAAGAGAAACCCAAGATCCAAAAATTTGAGATGTAATCTGCCCATCGTTCACAGCTATACTGCAATATAAATGACATATAATAAACTGCACATATTTAAAATGTACAATTTGATATGCATGTCAGATGAAATGATAAAGAAAATGTGATATAGATAGACAATGGAATATTACTGAGCCATAAATAATGGAAGTCTGCCATTTGCAACAGTGTGAATGGACCTAGAGAGTATTATGCTAAGAGAAATAAGTCAGACATATAAAGACATATACTCCATATCTCCATATTATCACTTATATGTGGAATCTAAAAAATAAAACAAATGAAGGCATATAACAAAACAGAAACAGGCTCACAGATATAGAGAAAAAACTAATGTGCTAGTGGGGAGAGGGAAGGGGGAGGGACAAAATGCGGGTAGGGGATTAAGGCATGTAAACCACTATGTATAAAATAGATAAGCAACAAAGATATATCGTACAGCACAAGAAAGAATAGCCATTATTTGGTAATAATGTTAAAAATAATATAATCTGTAAAAATACTGAATCTCTATGTTATATACCTGAAAGTGACATAATGTTATATAAATCAACTATATTTCAATAAACATAATAAATACAATAAAAATTAAATGCACCACTTCATATATATGCTTATGAATATTTACAGATTATATATGTTTGTAAATATTTAGTATTTCCAAACTGTTTCCAGAATGGCCATACCACTCTACACTCCCACCAGCAGGGTATGAGAGTTCCATTGCGCTGCCTGCTTGCTGACATGTGGTATGGTTCATCTTTTCAAGTTTAGCCATTTTAATAGCTCATTGTGGTTTTAATTTGCATTCCCCTAATGACCAGGTCAGTTAAGTATCTTTTTATGCATTTATTTGCTGTCCATGTGTCTTCTTTGGTGAAGTGTCTATTTAAATCTTGGGACCATTTTTATTGGGTTATTTATTATTATTGAGTTTTGAGAGTTCTTTGTATAACCTCCATACATGTTTTTCATCAGATATGTGACTTTCAAATATTTTCTCCCAATCCATTACTCACCTTTCATTTTCCTAACAATGTCTTTCCAGAACGTTTTAATTTTGCCAAAGTCCAACTTTTTTTTTCATGGATTATAATTTTGGTGTTCTATCTAAGAAATTTTTGTGTAATCCAAGGTCATAAAGATGTTCTGCTATATTTTCTTTTCTCCTCATTTTAAAAGGCTGAGAATAATTTTTAATTCTATGAAAGTTCTCTGTAGGCCAAACAAAAACCCCTAGCCTGTGGGTCACCTGTTCGTAACCTTTTACTTACAGCATGATCTCTCAGATTCCGAATTTTGTATCATGTGAAGTTAATGAGTCCCTTGCTTAACGCTTTCACAACACCTTATCTCTCAGAAGAAACTGTGGTAAGTCTTGCTCAGGGTCACCTTTTCCAGAAGATCAATGTTTTCTTTTAAAAAGTACTGATGCCATTTGCACTAACATGGATGGGCCTAGAGATTATCATACTAAGTGAAGTAAGCCAGACAGAGAAACATATATTTATCATACAATATCACTTACATGTGGAATTAGAAAAAAAGACACAAATGAACTTGTTTACCAAACAGAAAGAGACTCAGGGACACAGAAAACAAACTTATGGTTACCAAAGAAGAAAAGGGTTGGGGAGAGAGAAATCTGGAGTTTGGGATTAACAGATACACATTACTATATATAAAATAAACAGCAAGGTCCTACTGTACAGCACAGGGTATCCTGTAACAACCTATAATGAAAAAGAATATGAAAAAAAGAATATGTAAGTATAACTGAATCACTATGCTGTACACCAGAAACTAACACAATACTGTAAATCAACTATACTTCAATAAAATTTTTTTACTATTTAAAAAAATGTATTGGAATGTCTGAATATTTTTAATGAGTATTGAGAAAAGGAGTAAATGCTGGCTTAGTTCTCTTGAATTTGAACTTGCTTGGACTTCTGGTCAGATGAAAAGGACCTTCACTAGCATAATGTATTAGCAATCTACCATATCAGCCAACTATTGTTGAACTTTAACTAATGAGAAAATCATGGAGAGAAGGGGGTTAAAAGGGAAGGGGCAGAGTGAAAACAGACTTTTCTGTTGAAATTTTGCTTTCAGGTAATCAGGGTCAGTGCCAGTTGGGGCCCTTTATTCTTCGATGCTATCTCAGAACTCAAAAAGATGATTTCAAAACCACCTGACTAATTAAATGCTCTTTCTTTAACATGGACTCTCCAGCATAGTGTTTTTAATATACTGGAGGAGATAAAATTCTGGCCCTGGGCAGACACTAAAAACATTTTTGTATGGTCAACAGAGAAAGAGTGTTCTCAGCCCCTCTGGCATTGTTCTGGAAATCCACACATGATGCAGGAAATTAGCTGTCTCATGTCCAAACACTGTCGATGAGAACACTTTTTAAAAATGTAATCAGACACCACGAAAATGCAGGGTGCAGTTCAGAATGTATGATGTGTCCTGGCAGTGCTGGGGCTTAAGAATGTCACCACGTGGATGGGCGGGCCACAGGCGAGGGAGAGCGGAAGGTTAGCGGGGATTTTTATTGGGAAAAAGCTTTGCCGGGCCCTCTGAAACCACTACTGCATTTAACTCTGGGAACTCAAAAGGAGCAAAGACAACTATTGAGCCCCAGTGCTCTGTAAATGCATAGTATTTCTCTTCTATTACAGATGAGAAGCTGGTTTAGATCGACAACTGTAAAACTTACGCTGGTGATGCTGATATTCTGTCAATTGTTTCAACAATGGTTCAGAAACAGTCCTCAACTCCTGCAAAAAGCATTTTCAGAGAAGTGAAAGTTTTCCATTGCCCTTACAGGAAAATATTGCTTCTGAAACTTCCTCATCTCCAATTCCAGGGCACACGTGGTCCTCTCAAAGCGGCAGGGCAGTATATCCTTCCTCTGAAGCCATTTCATGCTCCTGTGCTTATTTTACAATAAAATAATAATAATAATA